TAGGGTTTAATTAGGCTTTAGAGCCTTAGGGCTTTCAGGGTTTAGGGCTTAATTAGGCTTTAGAGCTTAGGGCTTTCAGGGTTTATAAGCTTGAGGCTTTAGAACTTAAGGGCTTTCAGGGTTTAGGCTTTAGGCTTTCGAACTTTAGGGCTTTCAAGGTTTAGGGTTTAGGGTTCCGGGCTTAGGGTAAAGCATTGAGGGTTTATTTGTGGCCCCAAAGGCCTACCTGTTCAAGGAACTGTCTATAGAAACCATAAAAGGGAACCCTACAAAAGTACATCTTTTCGGCTTTAGGGAAAGCTCGGGGTTGCTAGGGCTTTAAGGATTTACGAATTTGGGCTTCGGTTTAGGGTTTAGGGTCTAGGGTTTGGGGTAGTTAAGGGCTTCTTCAACCAATCGTGAGGGATGAGCATTAGGGGGGATGGATCGCAGCTAGACAACGCTTCTCTCACCATTGTTTTGGTAGGCTTCCGAAGTTGTAAAATAAGGGCTTTACGAACTAGCATAGGGGCTAGGCGACCTAATTGATTCAAGGCCTTCACTTAACTGGACTCTTGTATTGTGGGGCTGAGGATTTCAGGCTTTAGTACCAGTCTCAGAGAAAGGATGCTTGAAGGATCGGGCGAAGTAACTGTCTCAACTTACCTGCCAACAGATACGCCGACTTGAAAAAATCTTCGTAAAGTCCCAAAACCCTAAAACCCTAAACCCTAAGCCCTAAACCCTCAACCCTTTCGTAAAGTCCCAATATACCCAAATCGAGACCCCTGGAACCCCGGCATGGCGGTATAGCCTGAACCCTCAATGTCCCTAAACCCTAAACTCTAAGTGTCCCTAAGCCCTAAACCCTAAACCCGTCTGACCCTCAATGTCCCTAAACCCTAAACCCTAAACCCGAAACCGAGCCCTCAATGTCCCTAAAGCCTAAACCCCAAACCGAGCCCTCAACGTCCTGCTTGATGGCCAAGGTCTGGATGGATCCTGGCTTGCGTGAGCTGGGTTTGGCATCCACCTGGCGCCGAACTGCCTGGCGCAGGGGGGGGATCTTGTTGCTCGGGAAGCCCATCAGTTCCAGGGTTTTGGGGTTTAGGGTTCAGGGGGTTCAGGGTTTAGGGGTTTAGGGGTTTAGAGGGTAGGGTTCAGGGGTTTAGGGGTTAGGGTTCAGGGGTTTGGGGTTTAGAGTCTTTGGTCGAACCCTGCATTGATTCACTAGAGGGGGCTTTGGGGTTTTTCTACCCATGCTTGCTCTTGGGGAGTCCGAACCGTTGACCCCTAAACCCTTAACAAATTAAATCCTAAATCTTAAACCCTAAACCCTAAATACAAAAGCCCCAAACCCTACAGACCCTAAAACCCTAAAACCCTAAACCCTAAAACCCTAAAACCCTAAACCCTAGACCCTAAAACCCTAAAACCCTAAAACCCTAAACCCTAAACCCTAATACCCTAAAACCCCAAANNCCTAAAACCCTAAACCCTAAATACCCAAGCCCCTTCTTGTTGGGGAGCTCCGCGGCTCGGAAGGGTTTGGCTCCGGAGCTTGGGCTTTCGGAGCCTACGGTCCCCGTCGAGAGGGCTTAGGGTTTAGGGTTGTTGCACAGATGTAGAAAGATAGATCCATAGTGTTTAGGGTTTAGGGTTTTTCTGATAATATAGGAAGATCGATAGATATAAAGATCGGTAGGCAAATAGAACCACCGATGGATGGTTGGCTCGCCAGCTAGGTAGGTAGGTAGGTAGGTAGGTAGGTAGGTAGGTAGGTCGGGAGGTCGGTAAGCGGTAGGTCGGTAGGTGGGTAGGTAGTCGAATCGGTTCGGGGTGGAATGGTTCCGGGGCCATGTGGTTTTCGGGTTGGAACATGGTGGTCTAGGTCGACCCACTGCCAAAACGCGACACGCTAAATCCATGAGAGCGTCGGGAATCCATGCCGGAACTTCGTGAGCCGTAAAGTGAAAGTGTGGGAAGTTGCTGAAGCTAACGGTTTGCAGCTTAGGGTTACGCTTCCTTCGGCTTCGCTTAGGTAACGATGATAGGACCCCACAACTAAAAAACACCCACTGATAGAGAGGAGTGATTCTAGAAGAGCCCTCAGGCTATTCGCACCGGCCTCTTGTTTCAGCACACCAGAGTCTGTAGAACCTACGGTGCCTAATCCTAAGCAAGCTTCAGACAACAAGTGGTGCACACCCAAAGTCATAAGATACTAAAGGGGCCTTAACTAGAAGAGGGTTTTGGGGTATATCATACCATAGCTATAAGAAGGACCCCCGCCCCCCCCAAAAAAAAGAAAAGTATGGGAAACCACTGTATTGCTCGCAAGATTGGGCCGGTCTAGGGCACGAAACCGCAAACCCTAAACCCCGAAAACCCTAAAACCCCCTTATACCCTAGACCCTAAACTCTAAACCCTAAACCCTAGGACTCTAAGACGCTAAACCCTAAAGCCCTAAACCCTATACCCTAAGCCCTTGACCTCAGCATCAAGATCAGCATAAGATCGAGCCTCTTCAAGCCGCCCCGTCACCCAAGGAATGGACCAAGTGAGCAGTGACAGAACCACGGCCAGTGTCTCACTCACCTGTCCCAGAGAGCTCCAGGGTTTAGGGTTTCGGGGTTTAGGCTTTAGGGGTTTAGGGTCTAGAGTCTTAGGCTTTAGGGTTCAAGGGTTTAGGGTCTAGGGTTGGGTCCTGCAATATGAGGGGAGTACCTCGAAGTTTTCCCACGTCTGCTTTCAATGCACCGCGTTAGCACAAATCTGGGCGGAAGACGAGCTAGAAGCGGACGTCCTGGAAAGGTCCACCGACATTTTTTGCAGCAGTGCGATGCGCCCTTTTAAGTCCCGGCCTCGACAAGATCTTCAAGAGTCAGTAGGGTTGATGATCAAAATCCTGCAGTACCCATAATAAGGAATGTACCATACTTCCCATAGTTTAGGGTCCTGAAGGTAATGCAGGATTTATATCATCAACAGTAGGTTGGCCATGTTCCCGAGAGAGGGCTTGAGTGCAGTTTGGCTCCGAGGGGTAGGGCCCTTGATTAGCGTAGGGTTTGGGGTTTGGGGCTTATAGGGTTTAGGAGTTTAGGGTTTAGGGCTTATAAGGTTTAGGTGTTTAGGGTTTAGGGTTTAGGGCTGAGGGTTTAGGACTTTAGGGTTTAGGCTACGAGCTTGCAGCGCAGAGGCAGCGAGGTCTCCAACGAGGGTTGGCATGTTCTGAAAAGTTTACCTTTCCAATTTTCTCACCAAATCCCGGCAAACAACTTCGACCCCACGAAACTCAACCCTAAAACCCTAAATCTTCAGCATCCTTGACTGGACAACCCCACCTGAGGGATCTTGGGACACGGTAGCTAGGGTTATGGTTATGGAATGTTCTCTACATTTATAAATACTTATAACTCCAACAAGGTAATTTAATTGTAAGTTCTATACATTTATAAATACAATACGTATAACTCCAATAAGGTACTTGTAACCTTACTTACAAAGTCCCATATTCTTTAGACACCAAAACCCTACACCCAAAGCCTTACTTACTAAGCCCCATGATCCCCCACGCAGACCCTCCAGCGGCGGGATGAGCTAAGACTGGGTTCTTATTAACGGAACTAAGGTTTAAGTTGCCACAATGGGGATCTATAGTAAATCATATGGTTGGTATAACCCTAAACCCCAAACTTATTATGGTAACCCTAAGCCCTAAACCCTATCCCTTAACAAGGACCCAGTCGAAGACTCTCATCTTCCAAACCTCAAACTCGGCGTTCTCGAGGGTAAACTCCACAGGCCCAATAGCCTTTTTTTTTCGGGTTTAGGAGTTTAGGGGTTAGGGTTTCGGTTTAGGGATTAGGGGTGTAGGGGTTTAGGGTTTCGGGACAATTACTTCAGCCATAATATTTAATGCCCCTTTCATTTAAGGTATATTCCTTCAGCAAGTGGTATTTGTTGCTTAGCCTAAACCGACAGCAACAGCTCCACATCATCCCAGAGCCCGTAGCCAATCCTCAAATCGAACCGCCCCACACGATTAGATGTTGCATCCTAAATTCCCAACCCTAAACCCTAAACCCTAAACTCTAAACCCTCAATTCCCGAAGCACCAAAAAAACCGCAAACCGCAAGTCTGCGCCTGACGAAAACTGTCCGGATCTCCGTAGGCAGAGACCTCGCAGCTTCTTTCCAATCCGGATCCTTCGACGAAAAATACGGCTGATGATCAACATCCTGCAGTACCCATAATAAGGAATATCCCATAATTCCCATAGTTTAGGGTCCTGAAGGTAATGCAGGATTTTTATCATCAACAGTACGACCCATCAGGGTTTAGGGCCTAGATCTTAGTCTACATCAAACTACGGTTGATGATCGAAATCCTGCATTATCCATAATAAGGACTATGACTATACCATATATTCCCATAGTTTAGGTAAGGCAGGAATTATATCATCAACAGTGGGATATGATCCCTTCCCCTTCTGATATGTCAGCAAGACAGCCGGGACCTGCTTCAGAACCAGTACGAGTAGCTACGTTTCGTGCACACGAAACCTTGAATATGCTTCCATAACCCCGACCTTGTTGTTGAGGGTTCAGGGCTTAAGGCTTATTTAGGCAAAGGTCCTGAATCCTTAATTGTCAAGGATTTAGGGTCTATGCTTCAGGGTCCTCAACCCTAAACCCCGGCCTTGTTGTAGATGAAAAGCGCGACGCAGAACGCCGTGACGACCCTGGTCGATGGGGGAGAACCCTCAACCCCAACCTCAACCCCAACCCCTGCAACCTCGTTGGATCCCCACTTCGGTTTCTCAAGTCTTTCATCCGGGGGTGTTAGGGTTTTAGGATCAGGGTTTAGGGTTTAGGGTTTAGGGGTTTGGGATTAGGGTTCTAGGATTATGGTTGAGAGATTTATGCAAATTTCTTGGCATGCATTGCTCGCGCCAGCTTCAGCCGCCCGTGTTGGGCTTCTCGCGTATACAGGGGGCAACGGCATGGCTTGAATGAGCTACTTCTTGTCGTTCCATTGAATCTGGCCATCTTCCATATCTTTGTCCTGTCTCGTCCCTCAACCCTAAGCCCAAAAACCATAGACCCTATACCCTAAACCCTAAATAACCCTAAACCCTGAGCTCTCAAATCCTGAACCCTAAAACCCTCAAGCACTAAACCCTGAAACCCTAAACCTAAGCCCCAGAACTTTGTCCTGTCTCGTCTTTTCCTCGTTGGCCTTCAACTCTTCCAGCTCCTCTTCGGTTGCTTTGCCCACTGCTTGCGGAGGGGGGGCCGCATCCTTCGCCTTCTTCTTTGCGTAGCCCATGTAACCTGGTTAACCATAAACCCTTATAAACCCTAAACTAAACCCGAAACCCTAACCAAGGGTTTATAGGTTTAGATTCCCCAGTAGCCCCGTGATAAAAGGGTCTAATCAGGGAGCCCTAAACCCTAAACCGGGCAAAAAGGGGCACTGCTGGGAGGCCTAGAAACTCTTGTAGAAAAGGGATGCAAAGACCACGATGAGAGCGAGGATCTGCGCGAAGCTGATGGGATGGACATAGAGTATGTAGGATGTCAAAATGGAGAGAACCTGCCGCATGTTCATAGTAGCAGCCAGAACTAAGGCTCCGAACTCCTTCACCAGAGAATAGATGAAGAACTGCCCTGTTACTGCTGAAGCCGAAAGAAATGAGGCGTCAAAGACAATGGAGGGGTGTCTGCTCACGAAGCCCATGGCCTTGCTAGCTCCACCGGTCGCCAGCAGTGTAGCGCCGGAGACGAGGGAGGAACTACCGTTCACATAGAGCATTTGGTTATATTTGGAGGTCTTGTGCTCCTTGAAGAGCTTCTCTTGGAAGGTTGAAGTAAAGCCGTCGCAGGCCAAGAAGCCCATCAGGAGAAGCAAGCCGTAGACGCTGCTGCCCTGGCTCGCATGCTTCGACTTGATGTCGCCTGTGAGAAGGAAAGCGGTAACTCCGCCTGTCACACCTGCTGCAATCAGCCAATCTGCCAGCTTGTACCTTGCACGTGTGCCCCTAGAACCAACATAGTAATACTGTACTAAACCCTAAAACCCTAAAACCCTAAACACCTAACCCCTAAACCCCTAAACCCTAAACTCCTAAACCCTAAACCCTTATTTCACAATCCTTGGACTATCAGGAAAAAAACGTGATGTAAGACCACGAAAGGTACTTCTGCCCGGAGATCGCGATGCCCCAGAGCATGACTGGCATCATCTTAAAGCTTTTCCCAAGCATCTGCACTGGGAAGGAGACGTACTTCAGTGCCTTTGGGGGGGGGGCTTAGAGTTGAGGGTTTAGGGCATAGGGCTTAGAGGGTCTGGAGTCGAGTTTAGGGCCAGTTTAGGGCCTAGGAATTTTGGGGAATTCCGGGTTTAGAGCTTTAGGGCTCTAGGGCCTGGGGTTGTTGGGTTTCGGGTTTAGGGTTTTTTGGTTTTTACGGCCTCGGGTTTTTGGGGTTTCGGGTTTTCGGCTGCAGTGCCTCGTACTGGCACCAGGTCGCGGACACGTTGGACAAGGACACGGCTAGGTACTTCCAGATTGGCACGGTGGCAACGTAGCTTTCCTGCTTTACTGCCACCATGATGACGGCAAAGATTATCGCCGCAAGCCGGTTGCAAAGCACCAGGAAGACGGACACTTTGAAATATTCATCTCCGTAAGGCTCCGACATGATCCGCTCTTGCAGCACGCCGTAGGCCCCCAAGGAGATGATGATGCCCATGGCAAAGACGACGCAGCGCATAGCCGCGCCAAGATCGGTCTCCTCTCTCTTCTCCGCCATGGTGGCTGGGTATGGCTGAATTCTGCTTCCTTTCCTGATCCTATGGCTTGGTCCAGTACCGTCGATGCGGGTAGTTCTCGAAAAAATGGGTCCCTTTAGTTTTAGGTCACCAAAATATGGCCCGGCACCCTTAGAAAAAGGACCCTAAAAGGCGGCCTAATGTAGAGAATTACATGCCGAACCCTAAATCCTGCATCAACCTAGAATGTGGCTGGTGGAGGGGCCTCAATGAGTCGAAGAAACCCTGGGTAGAGTCGGCAGAGCTGAGGGTTTAGAGTTTGAGGGCTTGGATTTAGAGTTTAGGACTTATAGAGTTTAGAGCTTAGGGTTTAGGTATTCAGAGCTTTGTCAGGGTTTAGACTTTAGGGTTTAGGGTTCATTGGTGCCAACCTCTGATTGGTAAACCCCTCTTGTTGCAGGGTCCCCACTGCAATCCCTACGGAGCGGAGAGAGGGGCCGTATAATTCAGTGGTCTACATTAACATAGAGGTCTGATTGGTTGAGTAAAGTATCCCCTTCATAGTGCCTATATGTAATGCACGATAATGTACCTGATGTACCCCCCCCTCCCCAAACCCTGTTCCCTATATGTAAACCCTAATCCCCCAAACCCTAAACCCTAAACCAAAACCTTAAACCCGAAACCCTAAACCCTTAAACCCTAAACCCCTAAACCCTAAGCCCCAAAACCCTAAATTCGAGACTCACTGCCCGCAAATGGCTCGGGGTCTTGGGGCTTCCATCGTATTTTGGGCTTGCGGTGCAGAGTTTAGGGGTCAGGCACCTGGGCAGCATCGTCAGGTCGTCCACACCGGGTATCCTCAGGCGTCGTGTGCAGGGTTTAGGGTTCGGGGCTTTGGGTTCAGGGTTTTGGGTTTAGGTGGGTTTAGGNNTAGGGTTTAGGGTAGGGTTTGGGGTGGATTCAGAGGAGCTTATGGCGTCTGGGCCGAGACACACTTCGGGGCGCAGACTTATGGCATACGGAGCAACCTGACAAATGAACTATCTACAAGGTGCCTACTGTAGTCGTAAGATCTCATATGCGTACATCCAAGTGCCAGGTTGGTATTGAAACCAACTGAAAAACCTGAAAACACACACACACAC